AATAAGGCGTTATACCTCATGTCCCCTTCGATCACGTAGAATTTGGTATCCTGAATCCTCTCGGCGGTATTTACTGGAATCGTTATTTCTCCTTTGGTCGTTTTGCATGCCATGTTAAATCCATTCAACACCCGGACCGCCATCACTATTTGATCTTGTATCCCCAACTGTTATACGACCCTCGATCTAATGATGTTGGTCGAGCTGCCTGGATCAATCAACACACGCTTAACTCGGAATTTGTTTATAGGTATAGATATTACCAGTGCATCATTATGAGGCTACACGATGCCCTCGGCATCCTCGTCGCTGAATGAAATGGCTCCCTCCGGGATATAATCTTGGGTGTCCTTCTCCCTCATGATGGATACTTTTGTGCGCTTTATCACGGGCCCTTGAGGGACATCGACCCCTCTAATGATCATGTTGATGATGTGTTGAGGTTCTTTTTGGTCGGCATATTTGTTAAAGTCCCTATTCCTAAAGTGGTTTTTGGCTCGATCACTCAGGAATTCCCGGAGATGCCCATTATTAAACAACCGTGCAACTTCTTCCCTCAGTTGTTGGCAGTCCTCGGTCCTCTGGCCATGCGTGCCATGGTACTTACACATCAGGTTAGGGTCTCTCTGGGTAGGGTCGGATTGCAATGGTCGAGGCCATTTGGTCTCCTTGATGCGTCCAATAACCGATACGATGCTTGCTACGTCAACGTTGAAGTTATACTCTAACAATCTTGGAGCTTCCCTCCCCCCCGAGCGGCCTGTCGAAACCACTTTTGCTCATCAGGGCTTGGTTATTGGGCCCTCGATCGCTTCTCTTTTCATTTCTTTTTGCGTCTGGACCCGTTTCCTTTTTGATCTGCATTGTATGGTTGATACCGATCTCGGACTAGCCTGGATTAATGATCGACGATTCTCTTAGGCCTATCATCGGTTCTGATGGGATAAACAAACCCGAAAGGGGCCCCTAGTTGGTCATCCTTGACTCTGATTTTTTACACCTATTGTGGACGTCGGCCCAAGTTACCGCCGGGTATTCTACCAAGTTTTGTTTCAGCTATTGCGAAGCCAAGGAGCTTCGGGGGTTGAGTTCCTGAGTAAATGCCTGAACGGCCCAATCGTCTGCAACCAGAGGCAGGTCCATCCGTTCCATTTGAAACCTCGACACGAACTCCCTAAGCATCTCGTTGTCCCTTTGCTTAACCTTGAAAAGGTCCAATTTTCTGGTTTCGACCTTGATGGCCCCAGCATGAGCCTTCACAAAAACATCTAAGAGCATAGCGAACGAATCAATGGAACTTGGGGGCAAGTTGTGGTATCATATCATCACTCATTTTGACAGAGTTTCCCCAAACTTCTTTAATAACACTGACTCAATTTCGCTGTCTTCCAAGTCGTTGCCTTTGATGGCGTATGTGTAGGAGGTCGCATACTCATTTCGATCCGTGGTTCCGTTATATTTTGCAATATCGGGCATACGAAACCTTCGGGATTGGTTTTGGTGCCGCACTAGGAGGGAAAGGCTTTTGGACAAATTTCTTGGAGTCCGTGCCCTTCAATATTGGAGGCGCTCCTAGGATTTGATCAACCCGGGAATTATATATCTCTACCTTCTTGTCGTTTGCCTTGATTTTCTTTTCACCAGATTCTAATTATTTCGTTAATTCCTCTAACATTTTCATTACTTCAGGGCTAACACCGGACTCAGCTTCGCCCGGCCTTTCGGTGATCTGCTCATTTTTCCCGGGGAGGTTCGGCCTCAACTCTGCTGGGGGCGCGACTTTGGTTTTGCAGCTGCGCTATCGCCACCTGCTGAGCCTGCAGCATTTCGAAGATCAATCGTAGACTAACCTGTCGCCTTCGGCTGCTCCTTGAGTCATTGGTCGGGCTCCTTCGCGAACGCTATTTTCGGGGTCGGTAGGAAGGTTGGCGTCGATGGCCACATGTGAGTTAGCATCAACTAGATCTACGACTGGGGCCCCGTTGGGATCAGCAGGGGGTACCTCATTGCTAGGTACCAAATTGTTGTTTTCACCATGATGGCCAGACCCATCCTCAACGTTCAAGTAAGCAGATTGAGAATTTGACATTTTTAAGCTGACCTGAAATTGAGACCTTAAAGAACAAGTGTAAAATAGAGTATGTTATGGAGATTTGTATCGAACCACCACTATTATCCTTAGCCCCACGGTGGGCGCCAAATTGTTTACGCTTAAAAATGGATAACAATAAAATTTATACGCAGTTTTAAAGATATGTGGAGTTATTCAATACAAGTGATCAATAACGTTAGATAAGCGAACTAAAGATAAAATAAATAACCAATTCAGTTGTGATGTTAAGTCCGGCCTCGGATATGAGCTTAGTGATTGTTTTGCGCTCGATTCAGAGCCAAATATATATGAAGAACTATGAGCAACAATAAGAACTTTGAATAACTTAAAAGCAGAGAAAACAAGTCTATATTGCTTTGATATGCGTGCTATAGTGTCCTTGAATAAAAATCATCCCATTTATATAATAGGAGAATTTCATCCCTAGTACAATTCTAAGAAAGGTAAAAATCTTCTTTTTCATTAATCACTGATCTTTTGTCGATACGGGCTGAGATCCACGCTGTGATATCGGCCCTTTCTTAGTCATGTGCAACCGTTTGGTAACACTTTTCGAGGTCTTGGAGCTCGTATCGGATTCGGGGGCGAGGTCTCGATGGCTCTGGTGGTAAGCACTTTGTTCGGGTCTTAGTACGAGAGGTTCCTAGATTCCGACTCCATGTAGTTATGTCTTTGCTTCGCTTGCCCCACCGGGAAATCGGGGTGCTCATTAGCCCTAATTTTACCCGTACACACTAACAACTAATTTATACTATTAAACTTCAAAAATAAATTATTAAATTAAGTCAAAAAATTTAAACTGAATACCAAAATTTCCAGAAAGTTTCCAAAATACAAAAATTTCCATAAGATTTTAAATTCGGATAAAAAACTGTCAATTCAAAAATTACAAAAAAAATAATAATAACGGAAAAACACAAGAATACATGGTTTAATATTAATATTAGCTACAAAATCTCTAATTATTATAAGCAATAAATTTGAAAAAATATCTCAAATTGAAGCTCTTTTTCGAAATTCAAGCAGGATTCTTATTCTATACCTAGAATATACCTTGAATCTTGTATATTTTTGTAAATTTTTTTATCAAATCTGTGTTGTAGGACCATGTGAGCGCCATTAATAGCGGAATTGAATTTTAAAGGGGGGGGAGGAGGGCGATATTGGGAAAAGGGGGGGTTTAAATTGGGGACATATAACACATGATACCCATGCATTATATAACTTTGGGCCGGCTAACGACCACTAGGTTGGGTCGTTGGCTTAGAGTGATACCATATAGGTAGGCATGCGATATATGTAATTTGTTTTTTTCACATTACTATGGTTCTTTAAGTTGATTTTTTCGTTACTTTGGTTTCGGACTCTTCTGTCAGAACAAACAATAACAACAACAAACAACAATAACAATAACATATTCAGTGTAGTCCCACAAGTGAGGTCTGGAGATGATAGAATATACGCAGACCTTACCACTAACTTGTCAGAACAAACATAGAAAAGAAAAGAAAATAACATTTCCTCTTTTTTTTCCTTTCCTGGGCTATCAAAACCTTCAGTGTCCTCTTTTTTCTTTTCCCGGGCTATCAAAACCTTCAATGTAGGTGAGGGTTCGAATCCAATGTGTACTACTCCCCCATTTCTCATTTCCATTCCCCCATGTATATTAAAATCTTTTAGAAAACATAAGTATACACACAAAGCAAAACAAAAATGGAGAAGCATAAGTATATGATTAAAGCGGAAAATTGGAAATAACCAAAAAAAAGAGGAGGGAAACTATCAGCTATGTCCATTTATAATAAGCTCATTACCAAAATTGGTCAATTCATAAAATATTACTAATATTAGCCAAATATTACTAATATTAGCCAATTAGCTATTTGTAGCAAACAAATATCAAATTTTTGCTTTCTTTTGAGTGCGTGTTATTAGAATAGATTAGGTACATCTTAAGGAGCTTGAATCTCAGTTTTGGAATGATTTGGTGAAGTTTTGAGGTGGTTTGAATTGAAAATTCGAAGTAAAAATTAAACATGAAAAAAAATGATATGTGTATCATTTGTGTATCACATATGTATCATATTTGTATCAATTATGTATCACATGTATATCTATGTATACCTGTGTGTGAGATACACACGTGATACATGTTTGATACATGTGTCGCAAAAGAATTTTTTGAACTCGATTTAATTACGAATTTTGATACAAAACCAGTCCAAATCACCTCCAATCTTCCTCAAATTTTGTATATTGACTTATTTATATGTTTTCAATGAATTTCAACTATACCCATTGAAAAAGTTCCTTTTTTGCTTAGATTTTTGGAATATTGTATATTGTTTTTTATATTTCATCACCTTATTTGCTACCTCATCCATGAAATTTCCTTTCCGTCTTGCGCCTAATGTTGTAATCACGCTTAAAAATATGGAAGGTGATTTTTGTATGCTGTTCTTTGAGAGAAAGAACATTATTTATTTGGTTTTCCAATTTTTATATGTACTTGGCTAGTTTTGGTAAGTGTATGACTAATGGCTAGAGATTGGTAAGTTGAGACTTATTTGGGACATTTGTGTAAGTTTCCAAAAAAATATAGTAGCAGCAAACACGTCTACTTAGCAACCAATTTCCAGAATTTGCAAACACGGCTAACTTGCTATAAATTACGGTTAACTTATTAGCAAGCAAGATATCTCCAGCAAGAAGGATTTTTGAAATAAATATGTTAAGGTAACCAATAAAATCTGAAACACCAGTAGCATCCCATTGGACAGACTGATGAGTTGATTAAAATTAATGTATTCAAAATCCCAACTAGTAAGAGCTTATTTTCGGAAAGGATATGAAGCATGTCACTAAAAAGAACAAATTGCTGTACTAATTTCTACTTGCTTCAAAAGGGTGTTCAATTGATTAGCAGTGCGAATGGTAAAAGATACATTATCTGATCTACAAAGGTTACCCTACCTATCGTGATACTCAAACCACTTCAGCTCTACCTGACTACTATTAGAGTATGGCATCCTCAAAATTAAAAGTCCACAAGTATTGCAATAAGAAAGATCCCAAATGAGCAGACTATTTTGAGCAGTTCAGCAAGTGCGTAATACCCACTTGCTTTAAGTCAAAACATGTTCTATATATAAGAGTCACTGGCTATTAAGTTCACCCGGCATTTTACGATTCCAACCAACTGAACCGGCTTTACGTTCTCCTCGCTTTCTTTTGTTTCTGGGAAAACGGATATCCGAGGCTAAGCTCGACTTAAATGTTGATTGCTCTTGAGATGTCGATGCTTTAACTGCTGCATTAGATTCTGATGCAGGGGGAGGTGGATTCTTCTGAGATGTGGATGCTTTAACTGCCGCATTAGGATCTGATGCAGGGGGCGGTGGATTAGAGCTTTCTTCTTCCACATTATTTCTCACATCTTGATGCTTCTCCAAGGATTTGTCAGGAGTCATCGTCAAAATGTGTCCTACTTCATTATGTATGAGAATGTTATCAACAATCTGTAGATTAGCAATACATAAAAACAATCAATGGATTGAAGTGCAATGGAAAACAACCAGCCTCGCAACATCTTTAATGAGTGAAGAGCACAAAGGGCATAAATGGGGGGAACTAGCTTATTTTAGAAAACTATGGTCCTTTGGTTTAGAAAACATGGGTAAAGAGGACTAATCTCAGGTTGGTTTATCTGAGAGCCTNACTAATTCCATTTACAATAGGGGCTTATTAATTACCAAAACATTCGACACATTGAAACAGACTGCATATTTGGAGATTACTCGACACATAAGGGCCAAATACTATTTTTGAAGAACACCTAATTGCATTTCCTAAGCCAAGCACCAGATGTGACTTGCAGGAAACATAATCTATTTTACTCATAGTATTGAAATGTAATCGCCACTTTAAACCAAGCACCAAGTATGAAATACAAAAGCTAGTCCCTATTTTTAGTCCTAGGATTAAGTGCCATAGGGCCCTCCAAACACCACTCAGTGATTAATTCATCAACCTAGCATAGCCAGATAACAACCATAACTCAATATTATTCACTCTTTTTTTCGACTTGGAAAGGATAGATGTCTTACTCTTTCGCTTGAATCTCCGACTTGTGCCTGCTGCTGCGTGACATCCACAGAGGATAAAAGTCCTACTGTACTTTCAATAATGTCAGGAATAGGCATAGCCTCTCCATAGCTTGACATTGTACTGTCAGGCATGACAAAATCTCCAAGATCATAATCTACCATGTGCTGAGATGTTGCATATAAACCTCCAGCTGATATTGTGTCTCCATTGCATGCCGAGAATGTAGGGCTACGAATAGAGCTAGCCTGTCCATCAATTGACATCAGATTCTCAGAGGAAGAAAACTTTATTGCATTTTTCGTCATCACTGTATCAAGTTGGTCCTTCAACTTATGAACCCGACTATGTACAAGTTCAATTTTGCGAAGGATCTGCTCTAGAAAACTATTGCTGCTTTCCAGAATTGACAAATCATCATCATTACCAAACTCATCATGGCCATTGGATTTCTGTTCTGCCAGTGCTATGCCAGAAAAAAAATCAACATAAGGGACATCCAGTGAAACTATATTACAAAAACAATTTGTTGACATATCTATGCCTTTAGTAAAGATGCCAGAAGAACAAACACTTTAAACTCAACATTAAGATTGACATACTTTTGAGCATAAACTGTAGTGAAGTTGTTCAAGTCCTTATTAGGAATATTCAAACTTGGGCAGACGTGAACTTGACATTCTCACTTCTCATTTACGAATTTCATAATTACCTATAATTCTTTATTTGATGAAAGAATAAATATAGCAGACAGTGCACAGGCTTATATTCTATATTTTGAAACTTTATCATTCATTAACTAGTTTTATGCTGATAGACACAGTCGGAGCACAAGTTATATGCACTTCCAAAATTCTAGAGCTTTAAACAAGTCAAACAAAGTTCATAACATCTGAGCTAGAACTGATCTGGAATATCACGTGTCATTGCTCTCAGAAGTATGAAGATAAGAAGATCCGTGCATACTGCACAGAGATTTGGTAACTAGTTATAAGTTAACTGTTAAGCGTTACATAGCTCAAGATAATCATCTTTAAGCTTGAATACATTAATGGTGCATTTCCGGTCTATGCCAAATTTAGGGCCTAAGGTTTTCAAAAGGGCGAACTTCCTTGGTAAGAAAATGAAAAACGCAAAAGAGTTGCAAGTGAGCCCACAGTGCATCACACATGACTACAATATGAGTTTCAATTAAATAAGACACATCAGAGCGTCATTGCAGTTTCGAAATAACAGGTCCAACTCTTTTCTAGGGAACAACAACAACCAAAATTAATATAGGTACAAATTTGTTCTACAATTGCCTATGGGCAATGCGTGTGTAGGTTATTCAACCAATCATGTTACTCTATTTGGAGTGACATGTAATCTTAAGGAACATGCATTTGACAAAATTATAAAACAAATTTGCAACTTATGTTGCTTCAAAATGCGCGACCATAAAAGATTTGGTTATTCAAGAATTGAGTGTTCCAGGAGAATGACGGAAACATCAAACATTAGTTAAGAGAAAAGAATTCTATAAAGGTATCAGAATTTCACTTTATCTGCCCCTAAAAAAAATTAGTATTTCCTTACCAATCAACAAACTGAAAAAAAAAAAAGGAAAGAAAGAAAATATTTTATTTGGTTTTTTCTCATTGACAAGCCGACATTGAAAGGCAGGTAAGCAACCTAGGTGGCTGAAAAAACAAACCAAAGGCAGAAGAAATCCCAGCAATCAATACTCTCTTTTACAAAGAGAGAAGCAGAAGATAAATGATATGAACTCAAATAATTATGGGAAACCGTGAACATTAATACATACCTGCATTACTAATATCATCTCCAGCTGGTGTACCATCCAAATCCAGCTTTTTATTTTCTGCAAGATATTACATGCCAAAATAGAACTTATCATGGTGGCAAAAGACATCGGTTGCCAAGCAAAAATAGAATGAAGAAGAAATCACACCAAAATAAGAGAAAAGGTTATGAGTGGACATTTGTGCTGCAATATCTGTTCCATCCTCAACTCTTTTCCTCTTTCTCCTCTTCATGGCCTTTTTCCTGAGCCTTGGATAAATAAATGGCAATGATTTCGAGCCTGACTCTTCCAAAGTAGCTTGATCTAATGCCCGATGTTTTTTCCCATCAAGCGCTGATATCTCTCTGTTGTACCTTGCTGCCTGCAACTGAAGCTCTTTGATCTTGAGTTCTGCCCATTTACACCGCCACATTATGGGACGTATAAAGTCTCTCCAGTGAGCAGTTAACTTTTTCTTCCTGAAATATGTAAGCAGTCAGTTGAACACAATCAAATAATTTACACTGTTCAACTTCATTTAGCTCATGCATGCTGAAGTTACTTACCATATCGCCATCAATTAAATCAAGCAGAAATAAGCTTCTGAAAGGTATAATAAGGAAGTCCTCCAAAGGGAATTTTAAAGTAAACCAAAGCTAATTCCATCCCATGCGGATGCCTTGTATCATTTACAGCTTAAAGCAATTTCTCCACATAATACAAGATTCTAAATGTTTAAAAGCTCAGATCTCAGGGGACTCTATACAAGGACCTGACAAGCCTAAAGTACACGACAAGCTTTGAAACAACTGTCAAGCTAAAAGTGGATGCTGATTGAGTTAACGCTTGATAAGTTCCTCTAAGAAAGCACTGTTATTGACGTATTGGAAGAGGTTTAAAGATCATAAGTAGAGTTACTCGAGTAAATTAAACGCAGGACTTCCATATTTTATGGGATTCTACCGCACATTATGGCACTTCAATCTAATCAAAAAGAAGAAGGTTTTTACTTCTTCAGATTTTAGTTTGTCATAGTTTACTGGACCTGACTCCAAGAAATACAGGAGGCACCCTGCTTCATTTTTTGGACCTAGTGAAGCAGAGGATTTAAGATCAACCTGCAAGAGGAATTAGTCTAGTAATACGAAAACACCACCTTTAAAATTTTCTGCACAGGCCCAGGAAAGGGACAGTAAAGAGTTATGTGAAAAATTATAGAATAACGTATAGGATAAGAGAAATAGCTGAAGAAGCTGGAACCTAGTTAGGGACAAAAAGAAAAATTCGGCAACCTTGTTATACCTGAACTAGCTGAAAGTCTTCAAAATATCTTATTCTCAAAATTAAAGGAAAAAAGATTAATGTAATGCTCATGACACTTGTTGAGCACATTACATTGACAAATGTTCACGAGGAACTTCAACAGAAAGAGAAAAGAACCATCGGGATCACAGTTATATAGCTGTTCTCGTCTAATTACATTAGCACTTATAGAAGACAAATGGCACTTTGATTTCTACCTTGGATGATCTCATGATTAGATGTAATACTCCATAAGATAGCGAATCTTCGGAAAATGACAATGTTGGCTACTGCATACAAACATAGAACTTAAGAGTTAAGACCAAAAGTATTTAGGGCTCTAGGCTAATGGCTGGACCTACATCATATGAAGGAGAACAAGACTGAAGCATCCAGAAACACGTTGTAACATGTGTGATGGGTCCCACTTTGGTAATGTTTCAAAAATTACCATCCGGGATGGTATTTTGGGAGAGTAGGCTCGTACTAGGCTAGAATGCATTCTTTGGTCATCACTGTACTAGAGTTGTTTTAAAGGATTAGGCAAGTAATAGTTAACAACTTCAGTTAATATCTCAGAAAAGGAAAAGATTCATGCTAATTGTTGCACCTCTTATTCAAATGGGTATCTAACAATTGAACACTGGGAATTAGAAAAAGAAAAGAATACTAAAACTGTTAACAGGATCAGTCCAAGGAGGAACCAGTGATTTAGACAAAAAACAATAAAACTAAACAAATCTTCCTTGCTCTAAAAAAATGCACCAAGCAAGAAATCCACACCTTATTGGAAACAAGCTGCCAAATCCGTCGAATGAAGATACCAAGCCACTATCATCATAGAATCGTGACTCCACTTCGGCATCACTTGGCCCAGAACCATTATCATTTCCAGATGTAGTGTCAGCAAATGAGCTCGAGTATTCAGTTTCATCAGGATCTTCCTTCGTAGCTAATCTGATGTCGCTGCTTCTTGCAAACCCAGTTACATCGACAGCCACATCCGTGGCACTGTTTGAAGCTTTAGTAGTCCGTGCATTCAAGGTACTTTCCATTTGAACAATGTTATATCTATAGTTGAAACCTTTCTTCTCGGAATTATATGGTAAAGTGTTCGTTTTACCAGAAGCAGCAATTTTAACAGAAAAATTTGGTTTCCTATCTAAAGCTGTCTGTCCTATATGTTGAGCAGGTGCCATGCTACATATGCAGCCAAAATAAGTTCATTCTTACAAAACCACCAAAAAGGGGAAGCCTTGACGAGAATTTTAGATCAATCTGTAACACAAAATGAAACCGAATTGCCTGAGAAATCCAATCTGAACAATACTTGATAAAATTAAGAAAAATCCGAGCAAATTCTTTTACTTCTAGCCCTTCATAATTGGAATGGGATGAAGTCAAAGCTGAAATATGGCACCAAACACATGGCATTTCCAACAAAAACCACTAAACGATTGCAATCTACAAATTTTAATCTTGCATGAAGCGGAGTATGAAAACTCCTCTAATTGTCATGATGAAAATGAAAAATTCAAGAAAACAAGCTGGGAATCACACAACATTTTGTATGAAACTGTGAGTTCTAATATCTAATATTATAAAAAATTTGGTCTTGTAAATTACACAAATAAGGAGCTTGAACACTCAAATCATAAGACCAGCATCTAACTATAAAAAAAACACCAAAAATAACGGAATCAATATCCAACAAAGAATTCAGTAGGATCAAAACCTCTTGTTTTCGAATTTGCAAACACAACCCATTTCATTTTTCTAATGGGAAGTTCTTGAAAACTCAAATTTAGCAGCTCCGGTAAAACAACCAAAAAAAACTCTTAATTTGCACGAAAAGCCATGCAAATTGAAGAAAAAGAAGCAGGGAAGTGACAAAACATTTTTGTATCCAACATACAAAGCTAAGCTGAGGGAAACTAGAGAAAATTAAGCTATAAAGCGGATAAATCCATATGGGGTTTTAGTTGGGGAGCAGTAGTTTACCAGTGAATGAAGAGAGTGAAAACAGAGGCTGCTTCGGCGGCGATAACTTAAGAGAAGTGTGTTTTATGTTTTATAAAAAAGAAAAGAAGTGGTCGTTATTATGTTTATATTATAAACCTAAGATGTGAGTACAACTATTTTTTCATGTATAGGTTCCCGCTTATGGGGCTGATATATCGAGCTAGTACCTGAATTTTTCCAAATGCATCCTTCACATATCAGAAACTAGGGGTAATCGCCTTACATGTTTTTGGCTAAGTTTACAAGCTGATCAAACTAGCTTATAAGCTAATCAAACTAGCTTATAAGTACTTTTTAATTTATCTACGCGTTTGATAAAGTTAAAAGTGTTTATAAGTCAAATGCTTATAAATCAGAAATAAGCCAAAAGTCATAAGTTGGTCACCCCAGCTTATGAATTTTTAGCTTATAAGCACTTTAAATTTGACCAAAATTTTTACTATTTTATCCTTAAAATATTCTTTTTTAGAACTAAACTCTTACATCGATATTCACTGCCCGAAGTACTATTTCAACCTAACCTCCCCTCCCCCAGTCTCTTCAAGTCTGCAATTCTCATTGACTATTTAAGAAAAATAAATTCTCTAATCCTTTGCATATTTATATCTATGTGATTGTATATTAATCTTTCAACAGTATGTAATAAATGAGGACATATCAAATTTTTGGTGTATCAATGTTTATTTCTCTTCAAATATTTTATCCTATTTAGGTTTATTTTTTACTAAGAAATTTTTATTAATTTATTAATTATTATAACTTATGATTATATGCTTATCATAAAATAAATTATATTGATTATAGAAGTTATCTTATCTAAGCACAGTTGTATTTAAAATAAAATGACAAATAGAATATTTTGTATTTGGATCGATTTGGAATCTAAAATTTTGAAGAAATTACGCCGTTATAAGTGTAAACAGTCTAAGGTTATTTAAGTCATTTTAACAGAAAAAGAGCTTATCAGCACTTTTTTATCAAATATTGCAGCAGCTTATTATCAATTTCAGCACTTGTATCCAAACACGTAACTGCTTATTTAATAAATCAGTTTCAGTACTAAAAAGTGCTTTTCAGCACCTAATGCTTATCAACTATTTCAAATCAGCTAATCCAAACGGGTCATTAGTTATTTTTTGGCTAAATCTATAGGCGGCTCCTTAAAGTTGGGTCCAAATCTTGTTTTGATACTTTAATTATCCCTTGTACCTATTAGGCATTCCAACCTAAAATTATACTTCCTTAGTTCCAATTTATGTGAACATATTTGATTGGGCACGGAGTTTAAGAAAAAATAAATTGTATACGGTCGAAATCGGGCATGTCAGATTTCGTAGGTACGAGGAGCTGCCTCGAAGAGTAAGCTCGTAATAGACCAGGCTCAGGCTCAATGACAGAGTATGAAGCATGAAGATCGAGACCGAGCATGACCGACTTCAATAGGGCATAATAACAGAATGGCGAGATATTAGCAACCGACCGAAGATCTTGGCAGAAATCCCGGAATAGATCGAATCAAGTGGTTATTGACGCCAATCATGGGATTTGTTTCTGTTATTAGAATTGTACCTTATTTATGATTCCTCTACTATATAAAGAGGGACCCCATTCATTTGTAAGGGGCATTGATTCACTGAGAAAGTTATACAAAAACGATGCTCTCTATTTTACTTACTATCCATTACTGTTCATCATTGTTTATCTTCTGTTCTTTACTGTTTTTCTTACCCAATCTCGAGACCATCTCGAATCGAGGTCGAAAGCGCTGCTAGAACTCCGGTTTGATTTATTTTACTATTCATATTATCTATTCAATTCCTTGTTTGTCAATTGGTATTGGATTAAGTCACGTATCCTTAAAACCACTAAATAAGTTTAATTGTTACTCAAATTTTAGGGTAAACAGTTTGACGCCCACCGTGGGGCTAAGGATAATAGTGATTGTTCAGTACTGATTCTGGTAAAATACACTATTTTACGCTTGTTCTTGTTGAGTGCCTTTGCTTTCAGGTTAAAACATGTCAAACTCACAAAACGCATTCACACACGGTAACAATGGCCTCGGATTCCACGATGAAAACAAAAATGTGATCGCTCCAGGAATCGAGGTGCCACAGGCTAATCTCGGGGCAGCACCGGTTACCAATCCAGTCGATGTCAGTTCGCACGTTGCTCTAAACACGGACCTAGGCGCAGATCTCGATGGGAGTGTACACAGAGAAGGCCGATCTAGTGGCCAAGGAACACAGGGCAGAGGAGACGAAGGAATCAGTCTCCAATTGATATTCGAGATGCTTTAGGCTCAGCAAGCCGCTATTGCTCAGTTACAAAATCAACATAGAGCTCCGAATAGGGTTGAGCCGGAAATTACTTGCCGTACTGAGCCAGTACCGGAAAGGTCGAATGGTAACGAATTGGAGACTAATCCTGCAGTAATGAAAATGCTTGAGGAGCTCACCAAAAGAATTAAATCAGGGGAGAAGAGAATCGAAGCCAACGATAAAAAAATGAAGACATACAACTCTCGAGTTGATCAGATACCAGGGGCACCGCCAATCTTGAGAGGGATGGATTCAAAGAAGTTTTTACAAAAGCCGTTTCCTCCAACTGCGGCTCTGAAGCCTATTCCAAAGAAGTTTCGTATGCCAGACATACCCAAATACAATGGGATTACCGATCCTAACGAGCATGTTACTTTATATACATGCGACATCAAGGATAACGATTTAGAGGATAATGAAATTGAATCTGTGCTGTTGAAAAAATTCGGAGAGACCCTTTCGAAGGGAGCAATGATTTGGTATCACAACCTGCCACCAAATTCCATCGATTCATTTGCCATGTTAGCAAATTCTTTCGTAAAGGCACATGCCGGGGTCATAAAGGTCGCAAAGAGGAAATCAGACCTTTTCAAGGGAAGTGTGTGTTGAAGGCATATGCTAAAGTTTATTTGTTTCTATCAATCATAGTCATAGGTATGGTGTGCTTCCGATGTGCTAAAAGAAAATAAAGTGCTCTAGGTTAATGTTAATTGGTGGTTGACTCGAGGACGAGCAACGTCTAAGTATGGGGTGGTGATATTTGGCCAAAATGCTATACTTTTAGTACATTACTCGCCTTATATTTTGTTGGTATAGTGATTAATTGTGCGACATTTGAGCTAAATTATGTCGTATTGATGTGTAGGAGTATCGGAAGAAAGAGTCGAATGAGAGTTGCACGAAAAGATGACGAAAATATAAGAAAAGAGCACAAAAATACCAAGTACCCAATCCTGGCTACAAGCCAAGTGTAGCCAGCTCTGTAGCCAACTTTACCATGCTACAGGCCAGGCGTAGCTAGATCTGTAGCCAGGCGGACCACACTATAAGCCTGGCCTCGCGAGGTCTATAGCCCGGTGATCAAAAGTGCGTTAATTAAAAAACTCCGACACATATTTGGACTCAAGGACATTGACCTAACATATAAATACTCCCTAAACGAGTTGAGAAAGGGTTGGACATTATTTTGGAGAAGGAAAAGGCTACAAAGCACCGTGGAGCAAGAATCAAACAAGTTTTCCATCAGTTTCTCTCTTTACTTTGTAGTTTAATATTTTTGAACATCATGATGATTGCTTATACATTTATGAGTGGCTAAACTCTCTCATCTAGGGTTTGATGGAACCTATTGAAAGATAATTTTTCACTACGTTTAATATAAACTTACCGTTGATCTTTTTCTACTTGTTCAACTATATTTTCATTGTTGTTGATTGACGAGCTCTCAATTAACTGTGCCTATTTAGTGTGTACTGCTCGAGAGAGAGTACACATTTAGGTAGTTATTGAACCACACCACTCCTAACGTATTTGAGAAATCAATACGGAGGGTTTAAAGGCGGAATTAGAGATAACGAAACCTTAGTGTGATCGTAGTGAGCGGTAAATTAGTGACAACTAGCGTAGTTCGAGAGAATATGTCCAGTAAATTATGGTAGCGGATCGAGAGAGAGCTATAACACCCAAATTACTCACGATCGGTAGAAAATACTTAGGCGAATTTGTAAGAAACATAGTGGGGAGGATTCCAACAATCAAGGAAATCATAACTCTAGGCCTCCTTAATCTTGTTTCCAACCCTTAGTCTTGTTAGTTGATAATTTTACGGCTTTTTAGTATTTTCTAGTTAATTAGTTTAAAATAAGAATCACAATCTTTATAACTTAGGAATTGTTCAAACTTGTCTTCTTAGTAATAGTGAACAATTGTAGCTAAACCTTAGTTCCCTTAGAGGCTTGTAGCTAACTTGTCTTCTTTATGATGTTTATGTACTCTTAGAGGCTTGTAGACAGATGTCATGTAGATGGATACTTGTATAGCTTTATCGGCCTACGTTTTGAGTGTACAAATGATCATGTCGGCCTTATAGGCCCGTATGTCATGTTTTATAAGTTTCTATATCATGTTGGGTCGTCTTATGTCTAGTATTCCCTTATGTTTTATTCCAGTTATCTCATGATGGCCCTTCTGGCCCATTTACCTATGATGGTGTGATAAGAAAGATATGTTACGTTGGTACTCGGTTGAGTAAGGCACCGAGTGCCCGTCGTGGCCCTCCGATTTGGGTCGTGATAAAAGTGGTATCAGAGCAGTTCTATCCTAGGGAGTCTACAAGTCGTGTCTAGTACTGTCTTGTTTATGGGTGTGTTGTGCAGCACCCTTATAAGCAGGAGGCTATAGGGCATTTAGGACTATCACTCTTTCTTCTTACTCTAGATCGTGTGGTAGAGCTCAATTGTAAGAATTCAAACTCCTAAATTCTATTTTATTCGTAATACAACGATACATAAATCTAGAAAGAAAACTGGTAAGAGATTGACTTTGGCTGTGGAAGAGTTGAGTAAGAGAAACTCAATTTTGCATCAAGCTTATGATGAGTAAATATGAGGTCTTCATTAGATCATGTGTGTATGAAGACG